AAACAGCTCTAAACAAATATGTGGCTGGATTTTGATGTGAGAGACAACAGGAGATGGACTTTTTCACTGGAGGAAGCGTTATTATGGATTATGAACTCATATTTTAGCGGCAAGCAGAGGTCTGAAGTTAAAAATGTCTTAATGCTGGATTTGTTTCAGCTTTTGTCTTCACCAGACATTAACTGATGGACTGGAGTGCTGTGGATTACTTGTGGATGATTGTGATGTTTTTATCAGCTGTTTGGACTCTCATTCTGACGGCACCCATTCACTGCAGAGCATCCACTGGTGAGCAAGTGATGCAATGCTACATTTCTCCAAATCTGATGAAGAAACAAACTCATCCTAATCTTGGATGGCCCGAGGATGAGTAATATTCAGCAAACATTCATTTTTGGGTGAACTATTTCTTTAAAGGTATAAATGCAAAAATAAGTAATAGTTCTGTTACTGTTTATTCACCCTCGGGTCATTCCAAATCTCTGTATTATTATTTCTTAATTTCTGTAAAACTCCAGAATCACTTGTGCACTATATTCAAACAGTTTCAGATGTTTTTTGTCAAATCAAAATCATGGAATGACATGAGGGTGAGTAAATGATCGTTTTCAGGTGCACTGTTCCTTTAAATCTGTAACTCGTTCTTCCTTGTTTGACTGTATTGTAAATAGAGAATAATTTTGTCCAGTTTTCTCCTTAATTGCCAAGTTTTTCCATCATGCACTTTATGTATTTAGAGGTTGGAATTCGTTTTGAGATTCGAAGTTCGGTCACAAGTTTGTATATTCACACACAAACACACGTGCAGTTCACCTCACCGTATTACACACACACACACACACAGGTTTGTTTTTGTGAAAAATGGGGACATCCCATAGGCGTAATGGTTTTTATACTGTACAGACCGTATATTGTATTGCCCTACACCAACCCTACCCCTAAACCTACCCCTCACAGGAAACTTTGTTTGTTTTCAGATTTTCAATACACTCCATTCTGTGTGATTTATAAAATGTCCTGAAAAGTCACCTTCTCCTTGTAATACCTATGTCATACCCTTGTCATTATACAAATTTATGTCCTCATTTGTCACAAAACACACACACACACACACTCTCAGTAGAGGTTTGTTCCATTTCATGCTCAGTATTTTGCACGTGTTTCAGTCAGACTGTGTTTTGAATATTAATAAATTTTAATATACATTTTTGGGGCTAAACGTCGTGCTTCTCATTTACACCGTGTTTTACGTCTCTTGACTTTGATGATGTCACATGATTCCATCTCAATTAAATGTTTCCTGAAATTCTGACACAGTTGAATAATGAACATTCAAATCTTTATTCTAAACTCAAGGATAGTGACTGGATTTATGGCTAAAGTAAGCTGTTTTTGCTGGATGTGAAGGATGTTGGATCTGGTGGAGGTTTCAGGCCTGCTTCTCAGTGTCCTCTGCTTTATCTGAGGGACAGAACATTAGACTTTTAGCTCAGATTTGCAAGTACGAACACAGACGGGATAGAAAGTGTTGCAGTACAAACAAATGACAGAAAAGAATCATTTACAGAAACGATAATGTAACTCACTCTCATTTCACCGCATGAACGGGTACGAGGAACTGAGAGAGAGAATGACATGCAGTTTCTGTAATGATTAATATGCTCAAACTTCAGCAGAACATGTTTCTTTGTATCTTGTAATGCATTTGATACAAAATGTATTGCATATATGTATATATAAAACCTGGAGATATATATATATATATATATATATATATATATATATACACACACACACACACACAACAACAACATTTTAAAATAGTTTTAGATAAAGAGAGTTGTTAATTCGTTAGTAACTCACCTTTTAGTTTCACTGCGAGCTTCGGCAAATTTGTGTCTGATCATAAAACTTGCCAAAGCATCTGAAGAAATCCCCTTACTGTCACTTTTGATCAATTGAATGCACCCTCGCTGTATAAAAGTATCAATTTCTTAGAAGAAGATCAGTGATCACAAGCTTTTGAATAGAAATGTATATATGCTCTTACTTTATCTGGGATGTCCTCATGCACTGCATGTCCACAAGGGGGCAGCACCTGCATCATGAATTTACCTACAGAAGCCATAGAAAAGAATAAATAGAGAATAGCATAGGAGCATATTACTATGTCTGCCATTATTCAGGTGTAAACACTGTTGGGCACAGAACGTGTAATTTTTTCAGTACTGGGCAGGTCGACCAGTCATTCGTGATTAAAGGATGAGGCATCTTTAAAATCATTCATATAGATTGCTGGGGCAGATTTCAATGTTTCTGTCAGAGTTTTAAATGATTATGCAGCTCAGTGCATGATTGGTCTCATAGGATATAGTTATTGATCAGACTCACCCTGCATCTGTCCAATGGTCAGGTCTCTGTCCAGTCGATCAATGCCTGAACACAGGACACGTTTCATATTAAATGGACAGAACTGAGCAGTTTTGTTTTGTCTGTATTTATTTAGATTTCATGTGTTTTATGAGGAGTGCTTTGATTGGTCCGTGTCTCTTGCCTGCCAGCAGTAGGAGTTTTGGGACGTTGCAGGACAGAAAGAGGTTCGATATCCCTCTGAACCAGCCATCCCAGTATTTCTCTGCTTTAGACAGGTCGATTCTCCAGCTGTACACACTGCACGGCTGAAACACACACACACACACGCTCATGCAAATCGATTACGCTCAGTTGTTTATCGTGCACTGTTTGTTCAGTTGCACACGGAGGGGTCAAAGGTTAACAAATGTTAAATATGGGTGTGTGACCAATAGCTGTATTTCAGTTATGGAAGCCCATTCCGCCACATAAGAAACAATTCATGCTTTAGTAGATCGTAATTATGAGATGAGTCATAATTAGGAGTCAAAATTATGAGATAAAAAGTCATATGACATAAAAATTGATATACCAAATCATAATAATGAGATAAGTCGTAACTGATTTACCAAATAGTAATTATGACATTAAAAAGTGAGGATTATAAAATGTCATTGACAAAAATTGAAAATTGACATAGTATGTCATAATTGACTTCATTAAAGTCAAAATTATTTAATTATAAGATTATAAGGACACTAATCTAATTTATGAGATTAAAATCTAAATTGACCAAAACAATCTGAATTATCAGTGTAAACTGTAATAATTATGAGATAAAAAGTCAAAATTGTTGAAATTGAGATAAATCAAAATTATGAATAAAAAAATTTTAATTGACAAAAAATAAATTGAGTGTAAACAGTCATAACTGAAAAAAGTCAAAATTATGGCATAAATTGTAATTCACAAAAAAAAATTATGAGGTTAAAAAAAACAAAACTGACACAAAAAAATTATGAGTTTAAACGGTCATAGTTATGAGATAAGAATTTGAAATTGAGTAAGCCAAAATTATGAGATGTGTAATAAAAAATGTGTAAACAGTCATAACTGAATCAAAATTATGACAGTTGTAATTATGAGATAATCAAATTTATGAGATTTAAAAATTAAATTAACAAAATTAAATGGAGTGTAAACAATCATAATTGAGAAAGTCCAAATTATGACATACTGAGAGTCGAAATTTAAATAAAAAAATGAAATTGACCCAAAAAAAACTAATAATAATAATCCCAAATTATGAGATTAAAAAATCTAAAATAATAACTTTAAACAGATTTTATTGACATAACTGAGATAAAAAGTCGAAATAGAACAAAAATTTGGTATTATTCGAATTTTTAATGATTGTCAATTTCAAAGAAATAGGCTTTCATACATCTGCATTAATTTGCATAATTCAATAATTTGTGATAGTGTGTATATATAAGGCAACTAATTATGTATATACAGGTAGCATGGTACAGTAACGTTCATAGCACAGTATTACCGTGGTACATATCCAGACTGCCAGTGTTTATGCTGAGGTCCTGAGGAGCTCACCTCTGCTGAAGCGCTGCTCTCTGCTTTCTCCGTCACGTAGTTGAGGTCGTAAAACTCCTCGTGCCCCTCGGCCACGCTCTCAGTCACCGGACTCACCGGCTCGGCCGAATCGCCTTCCTCCACCTCACACCTGAGAGAAACACGCTCGTTCAGTGAGCCCCAACTGATGTGTGATGAGGACGAGGAGCGCATGTGTGCTCGGATCCTACCGTCTCATTTGTCCAACCATTGACACTTTAGCAGATTCAAGGTTTCTGATCTGCCCACTTTTTACACTGCAACCAGAAAACAAACATATGTTGGACGATTTTTTTTTGTTTGTTTTTTTGACAGCAATTAATACTTTTATTTAGTGAGGATGCATTAAATTGATCAAAAGTGAAAGTAAAGACATTTCTAATGTTACAAAAGATTTCTATTTCAAATAAATGCTGTTCTTTTGAACTTTCTAAAATCCTGAAAAATAAATTGTATCACGGTTTCCTCAAAAATATTGGGCAGCACAACTGTTTTCAACATTGATAATAATCAGAAATGTTTCTTGACAGTTCTTTTAAATTTGAATAATATTTGAACAATATTACTGTTTTACTGTATTTTTTATCAAATAAATGCAGCCTTGATGAGCAGAAGAGATTTCTTTCAAAAACATTTTCCTACTCCGAACTTTTGAATGATAAAATTTTCTTTGTTGTGAAAAAGTCAATGTTGATTATGACAAAAATGGAAAACTATGACATTAATAGAGATAACGTCGAAATTGACATACTAAATCAGAATTATTAGATAAGGCATAATTATGAATTAACATATCATAACTGACGACATATAATTGAAACCTAACATACTCAGTCATAACTAGTCGTAGTCATAACTATGACATACTAAGCTGTGAGATAAAAAGTAAACATTATGAGAAAAAAGTAATTATACGATGCAATTTGAGATTATAGGCTAACACATGAAGTTGAAATTGAGATAAGTCATAATTATGAGATAAAACGTCATATTTGAGATAAATTGATATAAAATGTCAATTATGACATCAAATTGAAACCTAGCATACTAAACCATAATTATGAGATAAAAAGTTGATATTATGACATACTAAGTTGTAATTGAGAGAAAAAGTAAAAATTAGGAGAAAAAAGTCATAATTGCAAGATAAAAAGTTGAGATTATAACAAAGTTGAAATTATGAGATAAAAAGTCAAAATTGACAGACAGTCAGAATTATGATATAAAATGTCATAATTATGACATAAAATCGAAACCTAGCATACTAAGTCATAATTATGAGATAAAAAGTTGCCATTATGACATACTAAGTCGTAATTGTGAGACAAGAAGTCATAAGATAAAAAGTTGTGATTATAACACATAAAGTTGGAATTATGAGATAAAAAGTGAAAATTGACAGACTAAGTCATAATTATGAGATAAAAAGTGAAAATTGACAGACTAAGTCATAATTATGAGATAAAAAGTGAAAATTGACAGACTAAGTCATAATTATGAGATAAAAAGTGAAAATTGACAGACTAAGTCATAATTATGAGATAAAAAGTGAAAATTGACAGACTAAGTCATAATTATGAGATAAAAAGTGAAAATTGACAGACTAAGTCATAATTATGAGATAAAAAGTGAAAATTGACAGACTAAGTCATAATTATGAGATAAAAAGTGAAAATTGACAGACTAAGTCATAATTATGAGATAAAAAGTGAAAATTGACAGACTAAGTCATAATTATGAGATAAAAAGTGAAAATTGACAGACTAAGTCATAATTATGAGATAAAAAGTGAAAATTGACAGACTAAGTCATAATTATGAGATAAAAAGTGAAAATTGACAGACTAAGTCATAATTATGAGATAAAAAGTGAAAATTGACAGACTAAGTCATAATTATGAGATAAAAAGTGAAAATTGACAGACTAAGTCATAATTATGAGATAAAAAGTGAAAATTGACAGACTAAGTCATAATTATGAGATAAAAAGTGAAAATTGACAGACTAAGTCATAATTATGAGATAAAAAGTGAAAATTGACAGACTAAGTCATAATTATGAGATAAAAAGTGAAAATTGACAGACTAAGTCATAATTATGAGATAAAAAAAGTTGCCATTATGACATAGTAAGTCGTAATTGTGAGATAAGAAGTCATAAGATAAAAAGTTGTGATTATAACACATGAAGTTGGAATTATGAGATAAAAAGTGAAAGTTAACAGATTAAGATAAAAAAAAATTTTGAAATGATCATTCTTATAAACATGTAATTTCTCTCTGTTTTAGGGTTAGTGAAAGAGTTGGTAGGTTTATGATTTAGGTGTTTAGCCTGCAGGAATGTTGTTCCAGACCAACAAAAGCAAGTCTTACTCGGCAAAATTACTGTCACTTTTAAAAGAAATGGAATGTATTTTGTGATTATTTGTTCAAAGAATCTGTTTGTTTCTGAATAGTGCTTTATTCCTGGATTAAACCTGGACTAAATTTCACCGTAAAGCATTTGTATAAATTGTGTTGTTGTAGTCATCTGTGTGCTGCGTGTTGTTTTGAGTTCAGAGCAGATGAGACTCTCTCTAATAGTAAGCGTCATCTGGACGCTGACCTCCATTCAATGGCGTGATCGATGGATTTGAAGGATTTGGGTCGTCCTCTCAGGAAGTTCTGCATGCTGTGCAAGACGTCCATCGCACTGCCTGCGTAACACAAACAACGCAAACCACACACACTCATCAGTGTATTTCCACACTGATCTCTGACCTGATTTAGTCCTACACAAGAGCTGGGCTGAAGGAACGTGACCGTGTATGTTTATATTTCACATCTAAAAAATAATATGTTTTTATATTCATTTTTAAATGATTTTTATATTATTATTATTTTGGAAAGTGACTATGTTTATATTTCACATCTAAAAAATAATATAAAAATAATAATAAAAAAAACTTGTTAAAAAGATTTCTAAGAAAACATGTTTTTATATGATTTTTTAAATGATTTTTATTTTATTATTATTTTGGAAAGTGACTGTTTATATTTCACATCTAAAAAATAATATAAAAATAATAATAAAAAAAACTTGTTAAAAAGATTTATAAGAAAACTTATGTTTTTATATGAATTTTTAAATGATTTTTATTTTATTATTATTTTGGAACGTGACTATGTTTATATTTCACATCTAAAAAATTATATAAAAATAATAATAAAAAACACTTGTTAAAAAGATTTCTAAGAAAACTTGTTTTTATATTAATTTTTACATGATTTTTATTTTATTATTATTGTGAAAAGTGATTATGTTTATATTTCACATCTAAAAAATCATATAAAAATAAAAATGTATTTAAAAAAACTTGTTAAAAAGATTTATAAGAAAATTTATGTTTTTATAAAAAAAAATTATTTTATTATTAGTAGTAGTAGTAGTGGTAATATTTTGCAGTACTAACAGTTTTTGTATAATATAAAGTACCATATAATATGGCATGTGTATTTTGGCAGAAACTATGATTTTCATGGTAAAATATTGTGTGGAAAAGCTTAAGCTTGTACAAATGTTTTCTTAAAATTAGTGCTGTCAAACGATTCATCATGATTAATCGCATCCAAAATAAAAGTTTTTGTTTACATAATATATGTGTGTGTACTGTGTATATTTATTATGTATATAAATACACACACATGCATGTATATAATTAAGAAAAATATGTTATGTTTATATATTAAATGTATTTATATATAATATAAATTATATAAATATATACATGTAAATCATGAAAATATTTTTAAAATATATATTGTATGTATATTTCTTTTATATGTATGTATACATACATATACAGTCACATTATTCCAACATTTTTCCAAATTCTACATGTTTAATGAATTATTTTGTTTGAACAATTTTGAAAAATATGAAGCAAGGATATATCTGCCAGTTGGTGGATAATGGGAATTGATGGCAAACATGTTCATCCCAAAATATTTTTTCTCTGCCAAAAACATCATATCAGCTATAAGTAAAACAAACAGGGCTATTTGGATTTAATCTGCTTAGTACATAACCTGAATAACTTCAGTCATGTTAGTATTATTGAGGCATTAATCAAGCTGTTGCGTATTAATGAGTTTTCAGGAAATGCTAATTACTGTCATAGATTCTGCAGCACCCCATTAAATATACAAATTACAGAATTAAAGAGCCAGAGCTTTTCATGATTAATCTTTAAATGGGGAAAAACTAATGATGTCTGTACAAAGTTTCCCTCTACTTTCCACTGACTGAGGCCGTTTGACAATCAATCAAATTAATTAAGGAAAATAATTTGTATCATTTAACATTTTGTGCTACAATAGCATGTAGTCTTTGAAAATTGCTTCATTCTCATGTATTACTGCCTCCCATTTTGGGAAACTGTACATTTATTCAATGCCACTCAATGCTGATACGAAAATAGACTGACTTGAAAGGAAAGAAATAAAAATGAAATAGATGAATACTACAATGAGCAATTGAGACAAGCCTGAAATACAATATATTACAAATAATAAATATAAATTAGATAAAATGTTCTGATAGGTTTTTCACTGTTACTTCAAAACACACACATTTTACATAAACAGAAAAAGAACACGACTGCTGTTATTTCAATGACGATCAAAATTCAAGTCAATTCACCTCAACTATATTGCATTATTAATCTCATTGTTACTTTGATTTGT